TTTCTCTTTGGGGTTGACCATGGAGCTTTATTTATAGAGCTTTGACCGCGACCCTATGCCTGAGTAGGTGGCACAAGGCTTAGCAAAGAAGAGTGCTCAAGGCTTGGTAGAGGGGGTGCCATGTATGGTACCTCAATCACCAGTCTCCCTCTACCCTTTTGTTTTTTCAACTTGGCCTTGGCCCTGTGCCTAGGTAGGCAGCACAGGGCCATAGTAGGGTGGGTGGTGTCGGTGGTGCCCTGCACGGCACCCAAACACCCTCCTAGCTCGTTGTTTTTTTCTACTTTTGTATTTTTTTGTTTGTTTTTTTTAATTCCTTTTTTGGGTATTTTGTTTAAAAAAATAAAATAAATAAAATAAAAAGTAAATTTGGGCCTAAAGAACAAAATTGAGCCTCAAGCTCAGTTGAATCAAAATCAAGGCCTCCAACCTGGTTGCATCAAAACCAGGCCTTGACCCAAGAACCTGATATCTGATAGATTTTAAATCGAGACCCGATTAAAATTCGGATAAATTTTGTGTCTACATTTGTTCATTTATATTTTATATTGAGTTTAGTAGAAACTTTTTAGTAATGAAAAAAAAAATGACGAATAAATAACATTTTCGAAATTGTCTGTTACCTTTTGTTTCTTGATTGTTACATGTGGTTTTTTTGGACTGTACCTGTTTATATAAATTTGAAATTTTCATTTTTGGAGCTATTTTAGCCAAAAAATTTTCTGCTAATACATATTATATTTTTACCATAAGATTTTGTCTGAGTTTGCAAGGACTGAATTGTTTTCAAATCCTCAATATTTGTTTGCTTGCGTTTATTATACCTACCTCAACTAAAAAGCTATACACCTTTCATATCCCAAGTTAGGTTCTCATTAAAATTTCAATGGGAACGTGGTATCAATAAATGTTTAAATGATTGATTTTATTTTTCGGATGGTACTATCTTTAAAGTATTAGTCTCTGAAGTTTTTCCATTTAAGCGACATGTTAATCTACATCAGTGTCTATATGTTAGCCTAGTGATCATAGATTAGTGACTTAGTGGAGGCACTCCTGCTATAGGAGATGAGAGGTGCTCCATTTTCTTGAGGATAGTTTGTTTCTGTGTGTTTATTAGGTTCAAGTCTAAGTTTATGTAATGGGAGTTTAAGGAACAAACAGCTCTTGATTGCGCAAAATGGAAGCAATTGTAGGTAATGAGTGGTAAACAAAAGGGAATTAAGTGCAGGCATGCTGTAATATTGAAGTGGGCTGAATGTTTTTGTAGAACAAGATATTGTCTTATTCATTTGTTCATTTGTGCAACATGAAGAAAACACTTTCTAGATACAACAAATGTTTTCAAGGTTCTTCAGAGATTGCTCAAGTGGAACATAAAGCAGAGGTAATCTGCAATTTAAGCTTACATATGCAAATCTGGCTTTGTCTTGAAACAACATATTGCAATTTCTTCAATTGTATGTTGGTTTTATGTTGTATCTCAAGATGATATTTGGAACCTAATTACATTTTAGTGTGCATGGCATGTGGTTACTACCAGTTGAAACAAAAGTTTACTGAAGGGAGCTATGACTAACGGGGTTTTTCAAATAAACTGGCCGACAAAACATGCTGATCTTCATCAGAAAGTGTTGGTCTGGATTTATGGTGAAGTTGTGGAAATGTTTTTCAATAGGGATGATGAGATTAGGACCTTTGAGTGCATGTCCAAGCATTATGATCAGGGGCCTAGGCTTCTTGGGCGGTTTCCAGAAGGAAGGATTGAGGAGTTCATTCATGTCAGAAAATGCGAAATTTTCTTTGAAAACTTATCTTTTATCTTTATGATGTCTAATTTTTGCAATACCTAGGTTTATAGAACCTTTTTTTTTTTTTAATGTTAATAGGATAGATTATTCTAACCACATATTAACTACAGTTCATAGATGATGTTTTATTACGAGTTGATTTTTTCTTGGCTTAATGATCTTCAAAAGTTGAGTGTTGGTCTTGAACCATTAGAAGAAAACTAGATCAGGAAGCTGCCTGTTTTACTGTATCCTCAGTTCTTTGTTCATGACTGTGAACATAATCAAACAAGTACCTATAGAAAAGGAATTAACTGGCATAACCCAAAATTCCTTGTGCCCTCCAGTGGTTGCTTAATGCTAGGTTTTCTGCTTCTTCCTTAATTTGTAAATGATCTACAATTTTTTGTAACATCAACTATCAATTTTATACCTTTAATATTTCAACATTTGTGCTGTATTTGGGTCCCCATATTGCCTTTTTTATGATAAAAGCTGTGCAGCGTGGCTGTGTTGATTTAAAAAGTGCTTTATATAATATAATTCAACTGAATACCAGTCCTTCATGGATGAATAAAAATTGCACTGAATATGGGCCTCTGCTGTTCCCATTAGGACATGGTTCAAGAGTTCCACTCAGTAGCATATTAACTCAGGTTCAACTAGAGGCCATCTTATGGGGTATTGGAACTGCATTTAGGGAGCTCCCTCCATTCTTCATATCTAGAGCAAGTTGTGAGGGCACATCAAATACTATGCCATTATAGTCTGATTCTTTTTTTGTTTTAAAACGGATTATGGTTTATGATCTTGATTTTTCTACTTAAATGCTTTGGCAGATCGCATATGAGGTAGCAAATTGGATATCATGAATGATTTCGATTCTTCTTTGATGAAAGATGGTAGCAACACGACCAATCATCTGAAACAGATAAAATATTGGCTCCTTTCACACTCACAGCACTTGAACTTCCTCACAATTTTATTTGTGCTTTTGATTTTTATTGTAACTTTGATCAATGGTATGATAGAGTACTTATCATATTAGCTACAGCTAATTTGTCCAAATTGGCTGCAGTCAAAATATCTGCTTCATGAGTGAAAGGTGGTTTTATGCATGTTTCTATCCAAAAAATTAGAAGGTGATTCGTGGTAATTGTGCTATACTGAATTAAATTTTGTTAGTAACCTATTTGAATTTGTAATTTTTTGATTAAAAGGGTATATTTTCAGGTTCCAAATCCTCTATTTGAACTTGCTAGCATTTTGTGTGGGCAGTTTGGCACTCCATTTTGGAAATTCTTTCTAGCAACATTACTCGGAAAGGTGATTATTAAAACTCACATTCAGGTTTGAGAAGTCCTAGATTTCATTCCAGGATGTGTTTCGGCTACTTTATTGCTTTAAAGTTGTTATCTGTCTCTAAAATCATAAAATGTAAGTAAACGAAAAATAAGAACTTTTATGTGAAAGGGGGACAGTGAGCCTGATCATGAAGGTAAATCCTGCTGCCGAGTGATGGGAACATTTATGCTGACCTTTGATGTTATTTTCTAACTTATGTTTGTAATCTCCTACAGACAGTTTTATCATCTCAGTTGGCAACTATCAGCTTCTTGACTTCATTGAAAATGAGTTGAATAGAGTGCTTAGCCTTATCCCAGGACTAGCCACCATCTTGCCAAACCTTATCAAGAAACTACATTAGAGACAAATATATGTCACCCTCTCTTTTAGTCTCCTCAAATATTGAGGTAATAAATACACAGATTAGAGTGATAAGTATACCTATGCATGATGCGTTGCGTCTTTGCCATTATTGCTTGCTCCTTTTGCCTAGAGCTAATTTCTGCTTCTGTGCTTTCTCGACAGGTCAAGAGCTGGGATTTATCACGTGCTTCAATGTGGAATACTGTTGTATGGCTCGTGCTTCTAAACTTCTTCCTATGGAACAAAATCTTTTAATTTATCATATTTGAATTTTGATTTTAAATTTTATTTAATCATTTTTAATAAAAACTTCACTAACTTTACTTAAAGACTTTATCTGTCTTTTTCAGATTTTAAAACAAAATAAAATATTAAAAGACGTAAAAAAAAAAAAATGCACTTTGAAGATGACACTTCCTTATTGGCCAATTTATTCCTTGTTCCAAGTCCTAAGTCAGTTGTAAGTTATAATATTTTTATGGTTAAAACAAACAGGCAGCATAGCACGGGCTTATCAGCTAATTTAAAGGTTTAAAGGTAAAATTATCTAATACTATTTAATTATTTATTTTTTATAAAAATAATTTTTTTTAGTATCATGTCCTTTTCAGATAAAGTTAATTATATTTTTTATATCTGAATTTTAAAGAAATGTATAAATTAATACTTGAAAAAAAATGTATAATTTATATCATAAATTTTTAAATTATGTATCATAATAATTCAAATTCTAATACGTTAATCATATTAGTTTAAATATGCAATATGTGACACATATTATTAAGTTATGTGATCACTACATATACTATTAACATTTTTTAAAATAAATTAAATATATATTTTAATTTATTTGAATCATAAAAAATATAAAATTGATGAATAATTTTTTTGTCACATGATATTCATATGAAAATTTTTGCTAAATATTTAATATTTTTATTTAACAAATAATATACATATAATAAAATTATATTAGTTGGATAACAAATAGACGAGTTAAAGTTAATAAATTAAAATTTGTATTAAAATTATATTTATTTAAAAGTTTAGAATAAAAATTTTATATTTTATTTTTCTAAGTACCATTTGTATTTTTTTTTCAAAATTTAAGTATCATAAATATAATTAACTCTTATAAATATTTTAATTTTTCACGGAAATATTAAATACTTGAAAATTTTAAACCATAATTTTTTAAGTTTTTTTAGCACTTTTCAACTTTTTTTTAAATCTAAATTTTTTCAACCAAAAATAATGCTAAATTAAACCCAGGTATCTGACGGTATATACATTGCTCTTTGCATTTTTACGGTCGTCATAACCGGCTTTTTACGAGCCTCTTGTTGAGGGGCCCCTAACCATCTCTGTCTTGCAGGTCTGTGGAGAGAACATCGCATCAACCGTGACACGACAGATTTGGACCTCAACAACTCTAGACATTGCCCAATGCTTGAACAAACAACTGTTACTACTCGTAAGAAAGAAAAAATTTATTGCCTTTTTATCAAGGAAAGATAGATTCTGAAGCAATGGCATCGACATCGCTGGCAATTGCATCCCACAAGTCTAAAATATATTGTCTTAGCAGTTGGATGTGGTTGGTTTGAAACCTAGAAGCTTCAATTATCCCACAAGTCTAAAATATATTGTCCTAGCAGTTGGATATGGTTGGTTTGAAACCTAGAAGCTTCAATTAATCACATTACACTGGCTGGCTGCTTCGACTCTTTGCGCAACCATATGAGAGCTTCCCTGATGTACATTTTCCAGGAAATTAGTTCATTGAGATGCAATGCACTTGTATTAAATCTAAACCAATGAATCAAATTACATTGCCCCAAAATCCAAACAAAAAATAAATTCACTCTATCAAGCTAATCAGAGCCTGATCCATTTCTATCAGACGCGAGAATTGCCACTAATTCAATGAAATAAAAGTCCTACATCAAATTCTCCTCTCTCTGCTACTATCAATCCAGTGTCTCTTTTTCTTCTAATGACACCTTATTTCCTGAGAAGTCAATAATTCCTATTACCTTTTGGATAAGCAAATTGTGAAACTTGAAACTCTATCAGACTGTACTGTTGATGTTGAGTGCAATATTCTCATTCGTCAATCGAGGGACGTGTGTTATTAGGCAGTCTCCGGCCACGGACAAATGAACTGAACAGATGCAAGGCTCTTGATGGTTGTGCATATGGTACCATATGTGCAGCCCCCCTCACAGTGGCAAAGGTCAATAAATTTCCATATTCAGTCACCCAACCACCCACCTAACCAAAAAAAAAATTGACCCAACAAAATGTCATTGCTTAAGAAAGGTGCAAAGTTAAAGTAGACTCTTTAAATTTGTTGGCATGCATAAGAACCTGGTGCTTGTGAAACCAAGCTCCATATGGGACCGTAATGTTGAAGTTCAAATCATGAGCTAGTTCACGGACAAGTGTTCTCGAGCCAAGCAGTGGCACGACAGAATCTTGATCCCCACTGCAATGATTGATTTGAACAAGTATAAGGTAACAGACTTGAAAAAGTTTTTTTATTCTTTAGATTTTGGATCTTACCTGAATATCCAAACCGGAATACGGTTTTTGATAATCTTTTTGAGAATAGGAAGGATGTTGATGTTACCATCAGTGTCACTGTAACTTAATTGACTGTCCATTGTAGAAAACAACAAACATCAGTAGTTTAAGGATCATCAGAAACATAAAACATGTCAAAGATCAAACTAAGCAAAAAGCACATGAACTTTTATAGCTAATTTTTACAGAAAGATTTTACCCCATTATAGTTCAACCAATAATCCCAAAAATAAATAGGTTCGAGGTTATCGGTCGACACAACTTTTAGAGGAAGCAGATACCACCTGAACTCTAGAAGACATGAAAAGGAAAGAATTGACAAGAGATGCATTTTAAGACACAGCATGCTGTCATTTCCCCTTTGCAGCTCACTATTTCAAAAGATGAAGACTGTGATGAATTCCCTTACCTACTGCACATACTCCAAGGATAAGGTAATTTGGTGCGATTTGCATGAAGTGCCATCTGAACCTCAGGGAGGTTAAGGTAGAAACGCCTTTCATAGGTCATGCACACATCAACACCAACACTTATCTTGGTGGCCTGCATATATTAGGAAATGAATCACTGCAAAGGTGAACAAAAACAACATTGTGTAAATTGAACAGCAGCAAATAAAAAGAAAAGAAAAATATACCATCTTCCGCAATCGCAATTCTTGTTCTACAATAGATGGATAACAAACATCTAGGATAACATCATAATTGTTTATATATTCACCAACAATGCTATTTGCGTCAGCTATGGCCTGGTTGCATGACTGGGATACATTATGAGGACTCTCAAAAACATAGTCATCAAAATCACATTCATTCATGATGGTAAGGCCAATTTCATCAGAAATCATCCCATGTGACCAAAAGAATTCATATATTGCTGGAACATCCCGGTCAAGTCTGAGAAGAGGATTCCCAATCTAAATCAGAAGAATGTAAAGTGAAATTGTTAAACAAATCATGAGGAGAACTGCAAGACCCAAATATTAGGTTTTTAATGTTTTTTCGTTTTTCTTAACAAAGAACAAAGGTAAGTAACGCAGTGCAAGTTTTCTTACAGCAACTCCTTTGATGTTAAACTTGAAGCCAGTTGAAAGCGCATTATGATCCAGTAGAACATCAGCCAACTGTGGTATGTAGTGTCCTGTATAACAACATTTATATCATGTAATAAAACTAAAAAACGGATAAATTAAGTTTATAGAAGGAAAAGTAAATGGTGGTTCAAATTGTTTTGATTGCTGCCTAAAATACAGCACTACTTACACTTTGTACTAAATCATATATGAAATTTTCTATTTATCTTTCAAAGCCAAATAAATCTTTATTTCACATGTGAATCTTACATTTCAATATGATAAAAAGACTTGGATAGGACATAAAATTTTGTAATTGGAACCGGTTTTCCATGTGCAAACATGTAGTTTAGACAGGCACCTTCAATTGTTTTTGTACGGTAAACATTTCTCTTGGGAATAAAAAAAGCGGCAGGATTTGTTGAAAACTTCGATGATGACTGGAATTGCTAACGATCACTAGAAAGAGATGCTTCTGATATGATGTAATGTAACTGATTCCTCTTCTTTTTTTCATTTTCATAAGAAATTTTATAAAATCCCAAAATAGAGAAAAGTTTTGCATTTGAACAAATTTGCCTCAACAATGATAACAAAACTAGAACTGAAACTTCATTCTAATGGCAAACCTGCATAACTTTCTCCAGTAAGAAACAATTCTCTGGACTTGAATTCTGGGAACTTCTCGTACCATTTCATCATGAAAATATACATATCCTTGGCTGCCAAAAACAAGAGATAAGAGTCAGATCAATTTTCACCAAAACAATATAAAGTTCAATTAATATCTACCAAAAGTCATCCTAAAATCTGTTGGAAGAGAAAATAATTTGGTTGCATTACCAGTGGAGGCATCCCCACAAATATAATCTGAAGAAGTATTTGAGTACGACCACCCAACACCGGCAGGGGATTCAACAAACAGGAGATTTGATGCTATTAAGAAAAAAAAAGGGACAAAAGAATGAAGTGGGGAAAAACACATACATGTCAAAATTTGAATTTAATTAATAATCAAATACTGAAAGTTCATTGCATTTAGATGCTATAAACATTTTTTATACCTCTATTCCAAGACATTGAATTTCTTCGAAGGCTTCGGCCATCACCTCTAGGATAAAACGGACCCAATTCTGTAAAAGCACCTCCACCAATGGAGGAACACCCTGGCCCTGAAATGGAATTTGAGGATAAGAACATAAACAGAATCATCTCTATTTAGAAAAGCATAACGTAGATCAATCTCTCTTAGTGAAATTTGAGTATGACCACCCTTCAATTCAACTTATCAGCAATCATATGGAGCAACACCAAATTCTTTCCTTTCTTTTTAGTGCATTGCAGTCAAAATTTATCTATATGCACTTTATTTCTATCCCTAGGAAATGTTAAAAAGATACTCTTTGAGAAAAAAGTTTAAAATACCAAAGAATTGGCAAAGAGAACCAAGTACAACTAGTGGGAGAAGACTGTCGTAACTCTTTCACAAAGAAAAGAATAAAAAGAATCTTCTCCACAGAAAGAAACAAGTAAATAGAAGGGCCAACTAAGACATTTACAGCAAACAAAAACGGTTAGAACTAGAACTATGTGAAAGGAGAAACATTGAAAGTAGTTATCAACAGACAACCATGCAACATATTTCAAATTAAAACTGATAATTCACTAAAAAAAAAAAAAACAACAAAAGTTTCAAAACCATGAGTAGATTCAAGTTCAAGAAGACGAGCAAACAAACCTCCATTGAGCCAAAGAGTGAGGGGCTTCTTGTCAGGATCTTTATCAGCTTCAACAAAGTAATAAAACAAGCTCCTCCCAGCCTTTTCATCCACATCAACATACCCAGCAAACTGCTTAAACCCAACTTTAGGCTGACCAGGCAATTTCACAACCAGATCCTCGGCTGGATACCCTTTCACACCCAACACCACCACCCACCCCAGCAATGCAATACTCAGCAAATACACACCAAACTTGTCCCACCTGCCCATCTCGAAATACCCTTTATCTGCACACAGAAGAATTACATATCAGAACACAATATAAAGTTAGGAAACACCCAAAAAAAACCCAAAATAAATAAATAAATAAAGGAAAAGGAAACAACAAATACATTTACAATGATGATAACGATAATCTTTATCCCAAAAAAATATAGTACTAAAACTAATTCTGTTACTTATACTTACAGCTAGCACGTGAATTCTGGGGTTGTTTCATCAGAATGTACCCTACAATATAATTATACATACATATATATATATATATATATTGAACGGAGATGTGATTTGTGTACAACACTGGAAACTTGATATAAAGAGATTTATAGACGTTAGAATTCAGGAAGCTTCAGACTCTGCAGCTGCTGTCAAGCTGTTTCTTCCTTTTTACCGTTGACTAGCTCAGCTAGCTATCCTTTATTATTTTTTTTTGCACTGTAGTACTACTAATGTTTCAGTCTTAAAGGAAAAAAAATGGCAAAATCTAATACTCTATTTTTATATTATTATATTATTAGAAGAGGATTGCTAATTCAATAATTAGTTTCACATTTATTAGATAACATTAATGTGAAATAGATTGATGGTTTAGTTGAAACCAAATTATTAGATCAAAAAAATATTTTTCGATTTTTATCTATATCATTATCCAACAATAATATTATTAAATTCATTTTTAGAATTTTCTTTCCATATAAATGAATTTTGCTAACGATATTTTAATATTAAAGATGGATCTATTTACATTAATATAAGTTTTAACTTATTTTTATCATTAATCAAAATTAAATTAATAATTAATTAAAATTAAAATAATGTTTTTAATTTTAATCATATTAATCTAATAATAATAAAAAAATATAAAACTTACGTTAAATGAATCACTACCATTTTATCTTTAATGTTTTCGATACTTATTAAAATTATTATAATATATTTCAACTACCCTAAAAAATGCTTAAAAGATATTCGTGGACAAAACCTATGAATATATAAAAACAAAAATATAAAAAACTCACTTGGCATCTTCTAAACTCTAAAGTGGATGATTCTCAAAAAAATAATATTAAAAATAAATAAAATAAAAAGCTTAGAATTTTTTTGAGTCAAACGAAGGAAATGCCTATATTTCGGCTTAACTTTTGGCGCTCCAGGCAAGTTGAGTTAAATTTGGTTTCCATTCGCAGTTGTGGAAACTGCAATGCACGAACCAATGATTGAGCAGAGATTTGAACGGATGAGGAATCTTTCTAGGGAGCTTTTATTAACTCTTTTTTTGAAAAAACCTAGGCTAATACTTTTTCCATAGAAAGTCACGAGCCAAAAAAAGCCGTCCTCAGATTCTACTGGCTTACCTTATTTTTTTCTTCTACGGGCCTTTCAATCTATCACACGCGCCTCATTTAAAAAATGTGGAGCCCACGGATATAGAGCACACGCGGGCTCGAATTGGATCAGAAGGTTTTAAAATTTGACGTTAATACCAACCTCCACTTTCTTATCCAAAATTTGACCAATAAATTGTAATTTTCCAATTAAAAAAACTTTTTAAGATTTATTTTTATGTTAAATTATTAAACAAAATGTGCTTTTTTTTATGATTCGTTCAACTTCTTATCCAATTCCAAACATATGCTACATAAAAATTGTTTTCATACTCATTTTGATAGAATAAATATCCCTTTCATGTAAAATTTATACTTTACCTAAAAGTATTTGATTTGATTATTTAAAATATTATATGATGGTATAATTTAAAAATAATATAATTTAAAATTATAATAAAAATTATATATATTTAATAAAAATTAAAATATATTTTTTATTTTTTATGTCAAAACAAATTAAAATATATAATTTTTATATAAAATATAATATAAATATATAAATTATCAATATTTTATATAAATTATCATATATGAATTATTATTATTTTATATAATATTAATATATAAATTATCGAAATCTAAATATTTCTTCAAAAATTAAAATTAAAAAAAATAACATCGTCATATCGAGATTTGAAAGATTTGAGATAGGTTTCTTTTATTCTTTTAAAGCAACAATACATGAGAATATATGTGTAGGGTTGGTAGTTGAATCGCATCTTATGAAGGTTAATAGGCCAAACAACCTTGAACGGCTACTTAAATGATTGCTAGCCCTAGCTAGCTACCTAGCAAATGCAACTTAATCCACGATATTGGCAGAATTAAAAAAAAAAAAATTGTCACTATTAAAATTTGGTGTTAAATATGGTGTCTTTCACTACTTAGATCGCATTAAAAACTGGTGAGAATTTTATCATGTTAGACTGTCGTTTTGACACTAGATTCATATGAATTCAGTGTTGTTTGGGACATAAGAGTTGTGTTGCCTTCTGCTGTTAGTATTTCCATAAGCAAAACAAGTTCATCCTTTGATTTGGATAAGAATCCTAGGAAAGCTCTGGTTTATTAGCAGCAACAAGAGGCTGCTATGTGCGATGAAGCTTTTGGTTTCTCCTCTGTTGCTTCCCTGACTTGCTTTCTCATATTTAAAGTCACACATACTAAATGAAAAAGACAAAATTGTTGGTGGATAAAAGCCAAACCTTACCAAAAAAAGCTTATACACGCGAGTTGGACACTACTTAAACCCAAATGCTCAACTGCTTAAGCTATTGGGCACTTCGCTCTTTCATGTACATGACAACTTTACATCTAATTTTTTAATGATGTGAGTATTCTACATTCCTACTCACACGCGAACCCCAACACAAAGAAGCTCAAGTGCATATTAACAAGGCACAAAAGAAGGTAAGAAAATGGAGGAAAAGGAAAGAAAGCTACCATATTCCTTTTAATTTTTTGAACAAGGCAGAATGAAGGAAATTCAGGATAAATGAAAAACCAAACAACTGTTTTTCTTTCATTTTCCTTCCTATTATCAAACCAATGGACTTAATGGATGAGAAAAGAAGTTCCCTCCCTTTTCTTTCTATTCCATCTACCAAATTGGAAAATGTTTCTGTCACTCCCTTATTCTCTTCCTTTTCCCCTCGTGCCAAACACAAGGCAAAACTGTTGAGAGCAAAACGATCACAATTGAAAATCATGATACGAAGCCAAATTAACAGCATGCTGATGCTGCTATGCTGTATTTCCATTATCACTCTTTGAAATTCAACAATCTTAGAATATTTCCATTGTCTTTACTCGCAATGGGGCATGCGCAAATTATGCGAAGCTCCAAAGATGGAAGAGCTGGCAATATCTCAAAAAAAGCAAAAGAAGCTTTGTGGGGAAAGCCAGTGGGGCATCTTGGGGCACAGTCGATATGAAGACAGGATACCAACTAATTCCTGTATCATCATAGCGGGGCAGGCGATGCAACCTTTTTTTTTTTTTTCCTTTAAAAAGGAAAAAGTGATGCAAAGAATGCAAGTATAGTTTCTGACATTACAGGCAACCACTAAAAGTTTGGGGTCACCGGTCATTCTTCTTTTCCAAGCTTCTTTGCATCATTAAGTGTCAGAAAACTTTGCCCCTTGCAATTCACGTTCAGCTCATCAAGCTCCATATTTAGTCCCCAAAAACCAAAAAGAGAATGAGATATAAAGAATGAACTTCATCATTTCATACCTTTACTTTGCAACTTAGATAGGCGAAACCGACCTCGTCCAAACAACTCTCCATAACAAACCCGTCCCAAGCAGATTTATTAAGTCAACAATCTGAGCCGTATACAATTACCTGAATGTCATCACCTGAACCGAATCAAGCCAAAATGTCTCGAACCTGACCTAAACTTGAAACTGATTGTCACCACTAAAATTTTTTCAGGAACTAAATTCATTTAAAAAATCAACAACTCAAGCCTTTAAACTGAAACCTAAAGCAACCCAAGCCTAGCTAACTTGCATGTGAAATTGCAAGATCAGCTCGAGTGAATTGATCGTTCAAAACTTGTAAAGTTTTCATTTCACTTGTGATGGAAACAATCTAGGCTGGAAAATGTAGGTCACTGACCTAATGATGCATGGTACATAAATCAGGTTCAGAAATACTTCTACATTGCAAATCCAAGTATGCTTCCAGAAATGAGCATGACAATTTGAGGAAAAACTTATTTTTAAGATGCAGGGCAGGGGGAGGCCGGAAAGGAAAGAGTATGAACCCTTGATTTTACAGTCACATAATTTAGGTAACACCATCTGCTCCCAGGCAGTCAAACCAACATCTTCTTCCACATTTCACTGAAGAAAGAAGCTTTGAAGCCTTGAAAAGAAAGACAAGAAAAGAAAAAGGTAGTGTACTCTTCGAAATGTTAGTATGAAGAATGATCAAATGAGTGGAGCTTGAATCTTTTTTACATTTTTTTCCCACAAAAGGTCTAATCAACGTCATACCAATATTTTAAGACAAGCAAAAGCCAAGTTGATTATGCTTTAGTACACAACAGCTGCAGACTAGTAATAAAAGTTATAAATTCGGACCAAATGTACTCCCAAATTTGGAATAATAATAACCTTTAAGTTAGTAAGCAAGGATGACATTTAACTTTTTAAAATGGCTTTTGAGCACCATTCGTCGCATTTGAGTAACAATGTTATTTTATAGGTACTTTTGAGTAACCATGTTATTGAATCTACTATGGTACTTAATTCCCCAAAATAAATGTAAACCGCACCTACCCTAAAAGAAATCAAAATTGTCATCCAGAAAAACCTATGGCGAAGAAGAGTATCATGAAATCAGAATAAAATACAGAGCAACGCATGGTAATGAGCAGGCCTCAGAGAATTCATGATGTTAGAAATCTTACTCGTGGAAGCAGAGCACCACTTTGAAGGACAGAAGAGAGGTTCATAATCACCAAATATAATGCCCAGACTCCATGCACAAGATATTTAACTGTACACATTCCATTTTCCAAGAGCTGGTTACACCTTGCATCTAGGCAATCATGTATGTTGCTCAACAAATAAAAACCGAAGCGCTATTAGAATTTAATGCAATTCATGGAATTAGAAACATAAAGATAAATAGAACCAAAGTCAAACTTGATTTGCCTTTCATTATGTATATGGGTATACAGCATTAGCCTTGCCCTTTCATAATTCATAACCCAGTTCAAGGCCTTACTACTATTTTTGTCCCTGATATAGGCAAGGCGGTGAAAAATTCTAATCGCAGGAGATTTAAAACCATCTTCATCATACAGCCTTCCCACTTTATACCAAATTCCAAACTCAACTATTCCCTACACTTTTCTATTGGTTTGTGGCATATCTTTTCCTAGTTCCTAATCTGTAGACAACCAAATTATGCATCAAATTAAAAGAATTTGCCATATTATACACTTAAAGGACATCTTTACAGCTTACATTTGAATACAATTAATTATCTATCGGAGATGGTCAATTCCAGATGCTGGTAGCCAGCCTTAGTTATGACGTTAACATAAGTATCTAACGTGCAATATCACTAACTACTTTTGGTCTTATGGATGCAGAAAACCATGGAAGAAGAATAGTAAAAAGATAGAAAGGGAATGGGGGGATCAGTATTCATATTTCAGCATATGATTGGAGCAAACACAAGGACTGAAAGGTAGTTTTTCAAACACCCTTCCTCCACTTTTTGCTAAGACCGGTCATTCTTTTCCTTGTTTACACTATTTATTCTCTCATCTGCTAAATGCAGGCGCAATATTTTGCTTCTATTTCAATCGGGACAAGCCTGAAAACATCATCACCTTCTGAGATTGAATCACTTTCAGCTAGCACAGTCGCATACTTCACTCACGGGGGGATCTCATAACAGGTCTAGTTCTTGTGGTGATTAGCGAATGATATAAATTCACTAATAATGATGTAGGACTAAAGTATTGCCTCATTCTTCCTCCTACACCAGTCAAACCAATATCCCATCCACATTATAGCAAAGCAAGAACCTTTCAAACCTTGGAAAGATGACAAGAATTTAAAAAAAAAAAAAAGAGAAGTGCATTAATGATTAGAGAAAGACTGAATGATGGTACTAGAATTTTTACTTTTGTTGTCAAAATGGTCTAACCTACGTAATTCCTATATGGTAAAAGAAAGAAATGATGAAAGGAATCAAATTGACATCAAGCCACCAAAACTTATGATAAAGATCTAGGGTCTCCAAGAATGTAAAGAGTGGATCATGAAATCAAGGATAAAATCTATGGCTACCTCATGGAAATGTGCAAGTCATCAGAAAAACCACAACAAAAAATATTACTTGTGGAATCAGAACCTCCACTTTGAAATGTATCTGCTAACTTTCCAAGAGCTAGCCACAATGCTGCATCTAGGCAATCATGTTACATTCTGAACAACTATTTCAAAAGGTTATTATAATTTAAACACATTCGAAAGATTCTAATGGATAGAAATAAAAAATAGTAAAATTCAGTCAGTTATTTATTGTTCACAAGGGTGACAGTACTAGCCCACAGCCCTTATTTATTGTTTTTAATCTTCGAATAGGAGGTGAAGAATTCGAACCTTAAGAGATTTGGAACTTATCTCCAGTGTACAGCATCCTCGTATCTTGCCAAATTCCAAACTAAACTACTGCCTATGCATTTTTATTAGTTTGTCCCCTTTCATTTCCCATTCCAAATGTGTAAACAACCAAATTATAACACAATTTATCAAATTATATACAGTGATGGAACAGATTTTTTACAACACAGATTTGAAGACAATTTCAGAGACAGTAAAGTTCAAATGCTGGATTACCAGTTAGCAAAAGTACCAACTAGCTATTTCACCATACATATTGTGGGAGGGGAAAGAAGAAGAAAAATAGAGAAGATTTCATGTTTGGGAATACAATCGGACTAAACGAAAAGAACCAAAGGGAGTTTCCAAACGCCATTCCCTCAGCTTTTGCCAAGTGGTCTTCCTTTCCTTGCCTTTTCTCCATTTATTCTCACATGTGGTAAACCCCAGATGGAACATTTTGTTTCCATTTCAAAAGAGACAAGCCGGAAAACACCGTCAGTTCCTGAAAGTGAACCACATTCAGCTATCTCAGTTATTTCACATCATAAAGCGATCCTTGAATTGGTCTAAATCTTGAGGAATCCGAACTACTCTCTCAACAGCTGGAGATGACATCTGCAAGTAACATGTATTTTTAGATCTTAAAGCTAAAAAGATTTAATTCTGATGTGTAACAGACTATAAGTTTAAGCTTTATGGCATTAGTCACCACAGATTGTGGCTATTGACTTCTGCTCCTAAAATAAGGAGGCTGCTTGACCATGTCTAACATCTAGTGTACGTAACCTAAGGCTAAATGCCTGCTTTACGTTGCCATTAGATTGTACCATTAAGTAGGTTTGCCTATTCAGAAAGGCACTTCTATTTGACCGCAACCACTCGGAAGAAATATCAGAAACAGAAAATAGTGATTATGAAATATCATTACCTCCAAGGTTATATTCTCTGGTACTGCTCTAGCAAGCTCAGCTTCATCTTCAATATCTTCCATACTGGGGATACCAGATCTGTCAAATCATGACAAATTAGAGTCCCGGAGGCATTCTTTTTCCTTTAAGCAGTAGTTTATAATTTGAAGAAAATAAACCATATCAAAATGCTACCCAAAAAACTAAATCATACAGAAGATAAGTAAAAAGAAATCATGATAAAGGTGACTTTACAATTAACTTATTTTTAACAAAAAGGAAGACTAACTGTCGAGAAATGAATTGGAAGCTATATTGCTAAAGAACAGACAAGCACAAATGCTAGCATCACTCTTTGCATGGCTAAAGTGAGGACATCACCCCATGGAAAGCTATCCAGTTAAAATTTATCAGAAGGCACTTTCAACCCATGAAAAGCTATATGTTGCCAGTTAAACTTTTACAATCAGCATAAATAAGACATTTATTTAGAGAGATCCTTAGAAAGTAAATATCATAGCTGTTATAACTAAAAGTTCCATCAATATGGAAATTTACTTGGTTGAAGCTCAATTGCTCGTTCAATCTTAAGTCTTACCATAAGAAATTTGCATTAATTTAATGGTTAACCAGTACATTATAGCTTCCACTTCCAATAAGATGCTGTGTATTAAAAATGGGTAAGGTTCGATAATATTCCATTAAATTTATGTGTATCTGCTTGATATCCAACCTATGATGATTCATTAGCTGATTCATAAAAAAATTAAAATAAAAACTTAGGTGTAACAGTATACATGATTTCTCTTGAGAAAGTATCACCACATTATTAATTGAGAATGCAGGTTTTACCAGCATTTCTCATAAAAGAAAATAAGTTAAAAAATGCTTACTTATTTGTAAGTCTTTCAATGCAGCCTTGAGTGGAGGAATTTGTCAATATTTTGAAGGCCTATATACCCAAATTACCACCGAAGGATAGACATACATCCTCAGCTGATGCTAATGCTTCTTTATCCCCCGATGTTCCAGCAAGAGAAATTCCTTCTCTTCTGGCTCCATCCCCAACCTTAAAAAATATACATGTATGCAATTGTTGCAGTCTTGACCAACAAATACAGGAAAGATTGCCAATAACTCTTGTAGTATAACTTACAGAAAGTTCAGTTTCATTTTCTATGTACTCTTCAAAATAATCACCATCATTGTCTATCATTGATTCATCTATACAGTGAAGAAAATTCATTTATACATCAGAGATTCATTCAACATATAAGAAATATTTTTAAAATGTAAAGAATGAAATAGATGAATGTTAGTTTGTTGAAACTTTTAGTACACAGTATAACTAGGGGTATAATCAAGCTTAGTCAAGTTAATACGGTATAAAGCTTCATCTCTAGCCTGACTATAAACTCAACACTTGAATCTATGTTCAAGATTGATCAAGTTTTACTTTTCAAACTTGAGCTCAACTCAGGAAAAAAATCAAGCTACTTGAGTGTCAAATTAGTGTACTTGCTTATAATTGATATTTATATAAAACATTTTCAAATACTTTTGAAAAAATTGAATGGGCTTGAGCAGGGTGCTGAGGTGCTTGCAATCGGTACAATCGACCACTAGAGTTGCTCTAGCTCAAGCTGCACTCCTCAAGTTCTGAGTATTTCCCGAGTTGAGCCAGCTCTCAACTCACTTACTCCCCTAGAGCTAACAAACTAGCTTTGTCACTTGTGTTGAGTTTCAATTCTTAAACAACTAATACATATTAGCCGACATAATTCAATTGGAAAACTTAAAGTAACAAAAATAAAGGAACCCTATACCCATGATACTAATTCTTGACAAAAGTATGGGTTTTTACTTCACATCCAACTTTCATTAACCTTACATTAGCAAACCAAATAGTGCAGAAATGTTGAATCTAAAAGATTTAAAACACACACACGCACAGAGCAAATGGGTATTTGGTATTCATAAAATTACCATCTTCAAAGTCATGAAAAAACAAGCTGCTCTTCTTCCTCAACTTGTCCATTGAAACTTCTTCAACAATGGTTGGTTTTAAAAGTGGCTCAAACTTTTAAAAGGGTATGCCTCAAACGGGGACGAAAACTTCTGAGCTGAGCCCGGAGGCTTGTAAATGCTCAACTACAATTTGTGGCAGTGGATGGTGGAGGTGGCACTGGGACTGCAAAGTGTTTAAAATTCCAACCTGAAACCAATAAATCCATGCTTTGCATTTATGAGGAATTTGGAGATTTTTTTTGGTGGGGTAGGGGTTGCTCCAAAAAAGTGAACTGTCAATTGTCAAAACAATTTCTCAGGACATTGAGAGGAAACAGAAACAACAAAAGCATAAGAAAAACACAACAAAGATGGAAAGAGTTATGATTCTGTAACGGTGTCGGTTACTGCTCACTTTCTGTTCTGTATTAAATATTTATTGGTGGGCCTCAGTGGGCACCTTTTGAGCCATCAGGGTCTATCCTTTCTAAAGCTAACGCCCAGCTCAGTCTGGCCCACCCATAAACTTATGTTTTTATTATATTATTAATGTGATCTGAAAGTATCATATGTCAATATTCTTATATTTATTACAAATTAATTTCGAATAAAAAATTATGTAAGAAAAAAGGCAATATTTGAGTGAGGATAAAAGCTTTCCTATCAAAGATTATTGCAAAGCAAGCATCAAATGCTTTTGCAATAATGTAACTTCCAACCAAAAATCCATACAAAACTGATGAAAGAGCTACGCATTTTGCTGAAGTTATTGAAAACTCAAAGACGTTCCAAGCTGACATATATTTCCAAATAACCATTGGATGGAAATGGAACTCAATGTATAATTTTCATTTTTAGGTGTTGACTATGTGATCTGCACTGAAAATACGTTGAAGAAAAGAACGAAGAAAAGAATCATAATGAAGAGAGAGATGTTTTCTTGATAGCAGGGAGTGATGGGGTAGTAGTTGCATTATCTGTCCAATTTTTTTCACCCCAATGCCACAGCATACTTTCCCAGAAGCAGAATTCTTCAAAGCATGCCTTTAAACGCTTGTCTTTTATCTTAATTTTCCAATGACCATCTGTGTAATTCCCTGTCTCAGCTTGCCTCCTATCCCACTCTAACTGTGCCTTCTGCTTGGACCGAAGCAAACAGTACTTCTGTAAATTTTCCGGCATGGAATCATGTACCTTCCACCATGTTTTGTGAGCAACATCACTAGCAAACTCCTGCAAAATGTCCACATTCCAGTTGCAATCATAGTCCCGGAAGCATAGCCATGGTTTGTTTCCCAGATAATGGAGGACGTAGAGGATTGGAGGATCGGCTCCAAAGAGGCGAGTCTTCATCTGTTTCTTCTCCACCTCATCACCTTCCCAGAAGTGCTTCAAGAAGTTCATGTGTTTTGGAATCCGATGCCACCAAGTGAAAATTTCATTCAGATATCCCTGGTCCCCACCATTGTAGGATTCAATCTCATTGATGTGATCCATTAGTAGCTGGAACGTACAATTTGATGGCTCAACAACCATCACACCAGAGTTGAAGAGCGTAGCATTATTTCCTATAGCAGAAATTTCTGGCATCTCAAATAAGAAATCAATATTCCTGAGTATAAGAAGGTCAGCATCAATGAAAATAATCTTATCATAATCGGTCAACTGCCAAAGACGAAACTTGCTGTAATTCCATTCATTATATGCTTCGGGTTCAGCTTTTGGATTCCTGATTCTTTGGATTGTATAAATTTTCCAACCAGCAGCCTCCAAGCCACCTCTATGATAATCAGTGATTGAGTCATCAACAAGTATCACAAGGTCCCTAGTTGAACCTGACATGCGGATACTTTGAGCAGCAGTAATGGCCCCACAAACATATACATGAGCAGAGTGTAGGATTGTTGCATATGCTTCACGGTGTGCTCTCTCTGAATGGAAATACTCTGTCCAAATTTATTCAGTTAGTTTAAATTAAAGCCTTTCAGACTTGGGAAAACTAGAAATTCAGTTAGTTTAAAGCCTTCACTAAGAGGTGTTGGACTTCAAATCATCATTCCAAGATGGAAAATTTCCAGATCAACAAGAAAATAGTATAGTAAAATTTAGAAAAGATTCAATAGGGAAAAAAACAATACAACAACAACAACACACTAAGCCTTATATCCCATACTTTGGAGTCGGCTATATGAAAAAACAAATAAGAGAATCAGGTTAGGTTGTAATTTGAATCTTCTTGCGTCACTCATTTCTATCAACAACCACCTTTTCATCTAATTCTTTAATAGGGAAAAAAAAATAACTAGTGGAATTCCTATAGAAACACCCTACCTCATAAGAATTATAGAGATAAAAAAAGTTCATTTAGGTCAGTAATTTAGGATGTCACAGACTCATTTGTCATAATCAGTCATCATTGCCAACTTATACAACAGTCTTGCCTCATCGTACAGGGCTTCTTAACTTAGTGAAAAGATTTTAAATGAGTAAAAAGTTGATAGTGACATAAAAATATCAACCAGCCAGCTTCAGTAATTCTGAAGAGTAGAAGAATTTGTATGAACAAATATCTTGAGGAAACCAGTTTGAAACTAACCTTTAGCCTGGAGAGGAACTGAAAGTTCACATGATCCAACTGGCAATCGAATCTTTTCTCTTAACCTATGCAGGTTGGGTGTATAGAGCCAAGCATTCCCTCCACGTGCAACAAGGTCCTGGCAAGTAAATAGATTTGGAAGTGGGAAGCAGTCAGTCACGAAAAGCACATGCACTGGGTGAAACCCCTTAGCAGATGCAGCAAGCCTTGCAGCCGCTAGCTGAAAGTGTAGACGTGCAACATCCCTTGACCATTTTTGTGCCTTGTTGCAAGGAAGCTTGACAGCAATAAGATCAATCCTAGGTTTTCCAGGAAACTGAAGACTGGGTAGAGAAGGACAGTTAGGAACCTCAAATTCCTCTTCTTCATCTATCCATTCAGGGTACAGGGATTCCCAAGTTATATTGTCTGCCACATAATCCAATTGCAAAAGAACATGCTCAGCATCTGGTAACAGCTGCTTCCATCGAGCAGTTTCACTATGATTGAAGTTCAACAAGCCAATTCCCTGATATTCATCCCTGTCTGTCAGTTTTTCAATGACAGTCGTGATTTGGTCCCAATTTACATCCAACATTGATATATAACGTGGATCTGCAGCAGCACTGTCTTTTATCCATCTGTGTACAAAACTAGGCCTGCATGTAACAAAATTCTACTTCAAATAACTGAGAAATAGAACAGAAACAGGAGTAATCTTCAACATATAGGCCAGCAAACTCACTGCTCCTGGCATTTTAGTACTGGAAAATCAAGGTGGTCAAGTTAAAAGCAGAGATATTGAGATTGTTAGTGTTACCTATGTTAGTTGGGTAGCTGGTTAGATACAGTCAAACACATGTATTCACAGGCATGCTCTCATATACACATGCTCAAACATACACATGGTTTATTTTCAAGCAGAAAATAATTAAAGTAAAATAGAGCAAACTATAGCCTTGATATAACAATTAACAGAAAGATAAACTGGTGGTAGAATATACCTAGATACAAAGTTGGATGGACGATCTGAAACATAAACTGCAGGAGAGCAAAGGAGTGTGAAGAGAGTTCCCAATAGAATTATAACCAGAACGGCTTTCAAGGTAGATATCTTGCAATTCAAATTCCTGTATCGAATGGGAACATGAAGTGCCTTCTCAACGTCTTTAAAGACCTTGTTTCTTTGAAACCCTCTTGTGCTTGTGTCTTCACTGTAAGAATAAAATTATGAGTCGCATCAGCCCAGTGCATAAAGCAAGTAAAAGAGAGACAATTAAAAAGAAAAAAACGAAAAGCCAAAGGTTCTTCTATGCAATAAATATAAGGCAAATCTAATGTCAGTATGAAGATAAAATTGAAGTATCCAAAACCTGATCTGCAAAAGCAAAGTAACTTGTAATAAATGCAAGCAAACTCCAAAAGATTTCAAAACATTAAGAAAACTAGAATTTGCATAATATAAGTACACTAATCATGCTGATGCCTCTGGCTTCACCAATTTCACAAAATATTCCAAATTGAGATATCATTTCTAACTTTCATTCCACAGAACTTTTAAATTTCTAATAAAGCGCAACACCAACCTCAAAAATCCAAATCTTAGTGCACCTCAGTTAATACAAAAATCAAATTAAAACAAGATGAAGAGTCCTAAGCTTTAATCAGATAAGAAGTCAAAAGATCATAGTAGATTTATTTAGCAAAACATCATTTTTAAAAAATATATTTTGCAGAAAATTTTCATTCTCCTACGAAAACTATTAAAAATTAACACTAATTGACATAAACAATAGCAATGGCGGCCAAAAAAAAAAAGGAATAATAATAAGCAGAATTAATGTAAACAGTTGAAAGATTAAGTGGTTAAAGTTAGAGAGTGCCACCTAGGCCTATCTCAATCCACTTCATATTTGATCTTTTTCAAGAGCTAAAAATCTAAATTAAGCAAATAAATACCTACCAAACTAGGAAATTTCTTCAAATAATTACCATACAAGGAAACTAATGCTATCTACAACTACAATATTTCTGAGCAAATCAAAGGGGAAAATAACAAAAAATAGAAATCGCAGCTAAACTCAAACAGATCGCACTGCATTTTTTCTAGTAAAAAAAACAACAGTGCTTAAAAGCTCGGTCAACAGAAATTAAACGTTTTACCAAAATATTTCGAGTTTTAATATAAATGAGAGCAGAAACTAAAAACTTTGATGAAGAAATGAGAAAACGAAAGAAAAAAGGAGATGAGAGGAGAGAAGAACCGACGAGAAAACAGAAACGCGGTGACGGGGCTCTTTGGGACTGAGAGAGGGGCCTCTCATGTTTACAGAATGTTCAGAGAACAGATGAAACTGAAAATGTCATTTGTTTATACTTTGAGAATTTAAAGCCTTTACTCAAACTATTCTTTGTTTTCTAAATTTTAGAATTAAGGGAGAGAGAGAAAGAACTGGCTTTGCTGTGTGACCC